AKWRRAGAAAAGAGTCGTAACTGGTTTAAAAACAGAGCCTGGGACAAATGGGACACCAACAGAGTCACCTGAGAACAGATGGCACCTGGACTAGGAGCAGGGAGGAACCTTCCGGTCTGCTGGGGTTTTAACTCTGGGGGAAAATGGGATTTTCTGCATTTTCTGCATCCCTCTGCTGGTATAACTGCATTCCACGCCAGCTAAGAACCTGATAGCGGAATGACATTCAAATGATGCAGAATGGGTTAAATTCCAGTGCTTTCCCCGCCAGTTCCACACAAAGGACTTGCTGAACACACTGCCTGGTTGCACTCCTGCCTGGAAAAGCTGGAAAAAGCAGGGATTGCATCCTTTCCCTGGCTCTCCCCTTCCAGCTGTGCACGGGCAGGGCTGGCTTTGCTTTGGCAGGGAGCTCCATGAGCTCACAGCTCCCAGCAGATCCCAGCAGCCAGCGGCTCTGGGATCCCCACATGGATAACACGGGGTCACAAAGACACAGAGCATTCCTTTTCACTCCTAGGCTTTCCAGTGATTCATTCTACTTGGTTTCATTAACTCTAAAAGGTATTTCAAGCTCCTTTTTACTTAAAAAATGTCCACTTGAAGCTCTTCCTTGGGCCTCATTAAAAAAACAAACTATAGGAATGTTGCTATTTTCCATGTAAGCCTCTGCAGTGTTATAAAACCATCTACGTTAAAGAGCTGACAGCACTTTTTTTTTTTAAAGGATTAAGAGAAATTCAAAACACTGTTCTTGGGAGTAACCTGACAAGTTTTATCTGAAACTCCCTATAGCAGTCCTATAACCACCTTTCTATAGGGGCCTCATCCTGCAATAAGGTTTGAATTCCCARGATCCAGCAGAAAAGTTATTGCCTTAGTAACAGGATCCCTGCCACACAAAGCATCCCTTATCCCCCAGCACATGACAGTTAACTCAGATGTTTATGTAAGATGGGACTCAATAGATCAATTCTGACCTGCTAAGCCCTGCTTTGTTGGGAATTCGGAGATCCCAGTCCCTCCAGGCTGCCCAGGAGCGAATTGGTAGGAATCTGCTCCCACAGGGAGCATYGGGCTGGCTGCTCAGCAAGGAAATCATCTCCAGCCTCAGTTAATCACTAAAGCAGGATTCTGCTCGGCCATCTGTGCYTGGGCCAGGCTCTGACATCTTTCAGACACATCTATTGATAATWTCCTATATTTTGGCTCTATTAAAAGGCCTCTGTAGCTGGCTATAGATCTGAGCTAAAGTGAAATACAGGACACAGACAGCAGAGCCTGCATTAATAATAAAAATCAGATTCTGCATTTTCATTCAGAAGCCTGTGCTTGGTTTTTAAGGCTGTTTTTGTTATTTCTGTTGGTTTTTTTTCTTTAGTGTCAGGCTTTCTAATTTGCAGGTGGAATTCTGAAGAATTCAGATCTCAGTCACATTTTTTCAGAAAGAAAAGCTGCCTCCTCACCCAATAGTGAGCCTACAAATGTGGACAAAACTAAAAATGACTKGAAAAATTAAAATAATACCAAGGTAAGGACTCAGAAACCAACAGCAATTCGCTTGGGAAGCAAGCAGAGATCCCAGCTGTCAGTCTTCCAGTGAAAAACCACTCAAAAATGGGATAATTTAAAAAAGCCAATCCAGCCTCCTAAAAGATGGAAAGGTAAGTGCAAACTGCTTAATCTAGAAGGAATTGTGTAATCCACCTTTCCCTCAGGAATTGAGGAATTTTTCAAATACAAGAACAGAGTTGATAACGCCAGTGAGCGTGACAAGATGGAGCTGCTCAGCCTTCCTGCAGGATTCTGACTGCACTGAGCAGATTGAGAACTTCTGCAATTCATTTCACACTCAGCAGATCCTTAAGGTTTGTTTTGTCGGGAGCATTTTCCCCTCAGGTGATCCCTACACCCTGTGAATGGACACAGTTGGAGAATTCAGTGTCACTACAGGAGTCTGGATGCACCAGTGGCACCTCCCACCTTCACTCTCAGCACCAGAAAAATAAATGTATGATGAGAGGATTTAATCAAGCTGTCAAATGACATCTGACAGGAGTCTGCCACATTCCTTCAACACCTCTGACTACGAGAATTCTCCACACTGTTCAGCCAGAGTCACTGCTGGGTGATATTCCAGATATTCCTGACTAAAATGGAAGGGGGCAGGGATGTGTTCCAACCTGCAGAGATGCAGAACAGGTTATTAAATT